AGGCAAAGGGGAAAGAGCTCTGTATTCAAGGGTCAGAGGCCTCTGTTCCAGTTGCTATTCTTCCACTGCCTCGCTTTCTTATATTATTCGTCAAGTCACTTAACTTAATTGGTCCCTAGTGTATAGCAGAGGTTGGAGTAGGTCAGAGTTTTTTGTTTTTTGTATGTTAGGGTCTTCAGAGCTTGTAGGGATTGAGGAAGAGAAAGCCACGGGGGTGCTCCCTCACCCACACACATAAAAACACTCGCTATAACCTGAGTTCATCTATTTATATTGGAATTCTACGTGAAATTTCATTTGAAAGAACTCCGTCACATTTACCAAAATAATAATAAATTTTAAATCTGATAGATTATCTGATTCCCTGTCCAGTTCTGAAATGCAGTATGCCTGTGCTCCACACCCTCGTTACTTGGAAACATAGTGAAGGGCAGATAAGAATATGAATTGGAAGACTTGTGTTCTAGCTTAGGTTATGGTATGAATTGCTTGAGCAAACACTAGCTTCTGAGGTAGTTGGACTAAGTGTTCTTTATACAACTTCCTGTTTTAAAATCTTTGGTTTCAGGCTATCAAGGACCTGGTTTGTGTTGTAGTAGAAATGTATGTATTGAATTGCAACCTATTTCTTAAACTTTGGCAAACTAAGGTTCGGTGTTGATGATAATATATAACCTTCCTGGGCACAAATGTTGTCCATTATCTTTACAGAAAAAAAAGCTGATGCCAGTTTAGCTTTTACTTTCAATTTTCAGTGACTTTAATATAATGGAATGTTGGTATAATCGATGTGAAATAGCTCATTTAAAAGTATTTTAAGTTTTACTTTTACAATTAGTGTTTTAGGAACACTAATGTTGTTTTAGAAAAGCAGATTTGTCTTTAAAATGAGTGTTTACTAAAAAAATAAAAATAAAGTGAGTGTTTTCTTAGGTTTATATTAAATTATCCCTATAAACTGACTACACAAGCTAACCAGACAGGGCAAAGGTAGCCTGGAAACTCACAGACTAAGTGGTTCATATGTGAATCCCTGAAGGAGATACGTACTCATTAATATTTTTCAAAATATCCTAAATTTCAAGAATTATTTTTGAGTTTACATGGTATACATTTCATATGCTGGCTTATGTTTTTTGAGTACTATATAAATTCTGTTAAAAGAAACTGACTAGACAAAATTTGATTAGATTACAAGAGAATTGCTACTGAAGGGCAGGTGGCAATATTAAGTTTTTCTACAAGGAAAATTGCTGTCCCTACCAACCAAATAACTTATCAGTGTCTCCTCACAAAGTACACGCATAGGATAACGCTGAAGGTATGGTATTTTAAGAGAAAGTAATTCATTAAGTCAGTCTGAACATAGCTGGAGCAGGGGAGAGCATAGTAACTATTGTTAGCAAATAGAGCCAAATAAAAAGTTCCATAGAGAGCTGGGTCAGTACTTAGGCCCTAGAGGCAGAGGAACAAATGTCCAGAAAGAAAGAGGAGAAGGGTGCCAAAACCAAACTTACAGAATTTCAGATTTCTTCCCCAGGCTGCCCTGAAACTTAGGAATAGGAAGGCTCCTCTCCTCCTTCCTTTGCCTAGTCCAAGGTTGGCACTATTGACCTTTTGGACCCAATAATTCTTTGTTGTAGGAGGCTGTTCTGTGGATTATAGGATGTTTAGCAGGATCCTTGGTCTCTACCCACTAGATGACCAGTAGCACTCCCCAGCTGTGACAACCAAAAATGTCTCTAGATGTTGGCAAATGGCCTCTGTCAGGCAAAATCGCTCCCAGGTGAGAACCACAGATCTAGCCCCTTCCTTAGAGTTCTGCTTTGAATACTTAGCTATGCTTCACCTGACTGTTTGTAGAACAGAGAACCTGACCTCTATTTAAGTATGTTTCACACCTCCGACTGAGGTGTGTTCGAGGTTCCAAGTGGCCAATTTGCAATGAGCTTTTGTAACACCACTTATTTATAAATGGGGGAATTTGTAATTGTCTGTGTTTGTTCTCACTCCAGATGCAGTAAGCACTAATGAGGATGTAGTTGTGGTTTGTCAGATGCGTTTTATAGATGAAGTTGTGTATCTCCTTTTTTCAGTGGTGCTGTACTTTTTTGTATACACACACACACACACATACACCATTTGATTCATGCTTGATATCACAATGATTATTGCATTTTGAATTTTTGCATTAATTGGAACAATAAACTAGTGAATATTGGCATGAAAAGAAGACACATTTTCAATATTAGTTTATTTAGTATTTTAAAACTAGGTTTTATCTGATAACATAACATGGTTTAGGTGAGCAAAAATCTGAGTTCCAGTAAAATGGCTCTAAATCTCAAAAGCTTATGTGAAGATGACCTTGGCAAGGTTCAATTTATGAAGTTATTACAAGTGTTTTTAAGAACCCTGGCCTGAGAGTCATTAAACAAAATCCTCCTGGTCCTGACTGTGCCACTAATGAACTCAGTGACCTTGGGCAAATCATTTACCTCTCTGGATTTTCAGATTCCTCATCTCCAAGGTTTAGGGGGACATAATAGATGGTCTTCAAAGACTGTTCCAGCTCCAAAAGTAGTGTCAGATTTTAAAAATATGCTTGTGAACTGTAAACTTAAATTTATTTATTTGAGTTTTAAATCTTACAAAGTACTGAAACCTAAAGGAAGAAGATAGGCTAGAAGAGGAACAAGATGCAAATTTTATTCAAAGATGACTCAAGATAAAACAAACTGATTTATAAATTGATCTGCATGTTATGTTAAACGGAAGGAGAGACCCATTAGATGCTAAAAATTGCTAGCTATAGACTCTAAGAAGTGGTGGTTGTGGGCATCCAGATTTGCCCTCAACTGCTCTGCAGAAGGAATATTTAAAAGTTGAAAAGGCACAGATTGTGCCTTTGACAGTAACTGAAAACCAGGCTGTCAGAATCATCTTTTTGGCTTCCACTTTGTTTAAAAAGATTGTGAAGACATCAAATAATGTGAAAAATCTTATGGTAATCTCTATAAAACCATTTAATTGACTCTGGATAGTATACTCTGTGAATATTTTAAACATGGTAGAGACAGCTTTTCAAATAGTAATGTCATATTATATAAATCCAGCTTGCTCACTCAGCAAATGGCATGTCCTACCTCTGACAGTGTATCTTATTGGTAGTGTACAGATTTTTAGATGTCCTCTAGCCAGTTATATAGCTAGGTGTGGAGAAAAACAACATTCCATTCTAATTCCTGGAATAATTACTTCATCTCCTGTAATACCAAATATATTTTCATTCTTCGCAGTTAATGTGCAGAGAGCTTCAGATGTTGTCATTTGTCATAAAATTAAATAGCTCCTTTTCAAATGTAGCTATAATATTTGACGATCATCATTCAGAACAGTGACCAGAATAATAAATAAGTCTCTTTGTTCCTGAACACGTTTGTATTCTTCTTTTTGCATTTTAATTGGTTTGCTACCGTACAGTCTTAATAGCTGATGCTTCTAAACCTTTTGAGATTGATTGTTAACGAAAGGGCCTTAGGGAGAGTTAATCTGGAAGTTTGTCTTAAAATGTAGTTATTAAATCATACCAGATATGTTGGCAGATTTTGCCATCCTCTTATTTTGGAAGTGATGGTCCCTTAAGAATGATCATTCATTTTTTACTATTAGCTTATTCCTTTTACATGCAGACTGAGGTTTAAGGATTTAAGCAGCAGTGTTTGAATTCAAAGCCTAAGTTTGCCTTACAAGTATTAGGAGGAAACCACAAAGCGTTCTTGGGCTTCAGTTTCCATTATGTGAAGTGGAAATAATAGTTCTTTTTAAGAGTACTGTAGAGGATGCTTAATAATGAGAGTTATATCTGTGCCAAATATTAAATATCACTGCTAAATAATAGGATTTGATCAGATTGTTTTAGCATCTTTCTATTTCCATCAGGCAAAATTGCAGTAGTTGGATCTGTAAAAATGTAAAGAATAGAACGCAGTCTTTCATATAATTTCCTATGCAATTAATAGGGTCAAAGGAAAGGAGTCTTTTGGGAAAGAAGATTCAAAGATAAAGTGAGGAGGAGGAAGAAATAGGATGAATTTCTAAAATCATGCAAATTATCATGCTCTGAAAATTCAGTTGGAATTTAAACTCTCTACTTAGTGAAATAGATGGTGTCTCTTTCATAAACAAACTTGAGAGCCAATTTTTTTTTTCTGTCTCTAAAGGAAACATAGCTGCATTAATTTAAAAACACCAAAATAACAGGGTGGCAGCACTCAGTAAGAAACCAGCGTGGCTTTTGGCTCCATTTCTGTTGCTTCTGAGTCCTTTTCAAGTATTATAATTAACTGTACTCTTTCTGCTGTTTAATCTACTTATCGTAGTTTTCCCATGCTATTCCTTGAGCTGGTAGATCACTCCCTCAGTAAGAAAGAAAACTGAGAAGAAAATAGTTTTGTGTCTTACTGTGGTGATCTCTCTGTGTTGCATGAAGCTTTCTTTATATGCAATTTGTATTTTTCCCTTTCATCCCAACACATTATTTTTTCCTGTCTCTAGATATAAGATTCTTAACGATGTTGGAGTTTTCATCAAATGAGGACATCCAGCTGACTCTTCAGCCTCTTTTCCATGTCTTATCAAAACCCGTTTCCATGATAGATATCTAGAAATATTTAGAAGTCCAAATATTCAAGAAGATTTTTATAATAACACTTGGCTTTTCTGTGTTTTCACCACATTGTGTCAAAT